CCCACTGTAGCAACTAGGGCAAACACACAGTCCCTCTGCCAATTTTCCAGCAGCAGTCACAATGCTTGCTTATGGGATGCAGCAGAGCATTATATTCCAAGATTCCTAGGCACTAAATCCAAGCACTGTGCCTGCAGTCACACAAATGCCATCAATCTCTCACAGGGAGAAGCTTAGCCAGCTTCTTGTTTGGATCCCATGTGATCCCATTCCTCCAGCTGCCTCCATCACATACCATCTGCGAAACCTGGATTGAGAACCATCAACTCCACCAAGCAGCATGATTTTTTAATGATCAGTGCCACAACACTGAGCTATGCAACACCAGGACTCCCACACACCTAGCCAATGCTCCCCTGTAAGTAACATGCAGCTATAACTCTTCCTCTGGAAGACAGAATGAGGAAATAATCCCACTAATGCTAATGACATATCAACTAATACAATGACAAATGCCCTAAGAATACCGAAGTAGTTACTCACTGAATGAATAAATAAATAAGGCAAAGGGCACATGCTGCATGCAGAGATTTAAAATAACCAGCTGCCTTTTCCTGTGAGAGGCATCCATGCCGTGTCCTGCTTGAGGAAGGTTTCCAAACTACAAGAATTGAGCATGATTACACATAATTAATTCCTTCTACTTTGTACTCACAAGGGAGTCCATTTGCAGTTGCACAAGTTGCCTAATATTTAAAAATCTGACACTGTGTTGATGCTTTTCAAACACTGTTTTGTACAAACTTCACAGTTAAATGTGCACAGCTCTGAGGCCCCGAAACTCTGCAACACCAAGGGGTGAATGAAGGGCATAGCAGCTGTCTTCACATGGAATTTCCTTGCTTTCATCTGACAATATCTGTTCTCAAATGTTATTGCGATGTAGTGTAGCTTTTTTTCTTTGAATTAGGTTTACATCCCACTTGGTTATCACGGGCTAGTTGGAAACAGCCCGTGAAACACTCTGCAGTCAGCACATTGGTGCTGCTCCTGGGAAGCAGCCAGAAAGAAGTTACGGGAGCTGCATGTGGCAGCCTTTGTTGGGGGAAGTGAAAACAGTTCAATTCAGTTAAGCAGAACATTCACTTGTGAAGCAAACTGAATTTATAGAACTCGGGAGGCCCAAGAGGCAGCTTCACTCGTAGAATAATGTCTTTGACACTTTCAGTGTTCAAATGGGCAAGGGACTAAGAATCCAGCATCTGAAGGGGTAAAATACACAAAATCTCAGTAAGCTTAGCATAAAATAAGGTCAGAGAAAATACCTGAGTTTAAAATTACACTTTTGCTACTCACTGTAGTATCTGGGATTGTTTGTTCTGGAGAAAGAAGGCTCAAGGGAAACCAGATCACTCTCCACAATGACCCGAAAGGAGTTGTGCCAAGGTGGGGATTGGCCTCTTCTTCCATGTAACAGTGATAGGATGAGTGGAAATGGTCTCCTGTTGTGCCAGGAGAGGTTCAAGTTCGGTATTAGGAAAAATTTCTTCTCCGAAGGAGTGGTGAGGCACTGAACCAGGCTGCCCAGGGAGGTGGTGGAGTCAGCGTCCCTGGAGGTGTTCAAGAAAGGAGCAAACGTGGAACTGAGGAACGTGGTTTAGTGGACGTGGTGGTGCTAGGTTGATGGTTGGACTTCATGAGCTTAGTGGTCTTTCCAACTTTAATGATTCTATAATTCTGTGAAATTCTATGGATCAGTACTCACAGCAACAAGCATCATCTCCATCACAGCACATTATTCAGAGCTCATGAATCCTTTAATCATATCAGAGGTACGTAGAGGTACATGTGTACAGCATGAAGCCAATGTGTACATCTGAGGACGTATGAAGTGCAATACCAACAATGATCTGTGCAATTCCTGCACCACTCTTCCCCAAGTATCACAGGAATAAGTACAGAAGATTTGTCAGATTCCAGCCATTTCAGGAGAGGTTTCGTTATGAATTAAACTGTCCAGATGCAGTATGTCTTTACTTACCATTAGATTTCTTTTTTTTTTTTTTTTTTTAATTAATTTAATTAATTTTTATTAATTTAATTTAATTAATTTATTAATGAAGCAGTGAACTACTGGTTTAAATCATTGGCTCAATTTTATATTTCTGAAAAAAAAAAAAACAACAGTATTAACTCTATGGGGATAGTTTTTTTTTTTTTTTTTTTTCTGAAGAAGTGCAGATCAGGCCATAAGTGGCTGCTATATGGCCCTTACTGTATGCAAGGGCTTTGTTTGACTGTGGAAACAACAACTTCTTGATTTGACATACAAAGGGTCATTCTACTTAGCATGCCACACATGAGGAGAGGCAGAATGTGACCAGTGTTGCGCTGTTGCTAGCACAATAAGTCCCGCACTCTCTCTTTGTAAATCTGTTTTCCAGCTCCTGAAATGTTTGCTATGGACTTCTTTTTTTTTAAATCATTTTTTTTTTTTTTTTAAGTGTCCAATGGATTTGGGGACTGACAGAATAAAATTGCACTCCTAGGTAACGTCTTAGAACAGAGAAAGAGAGCGAGTTTCTGTACCACATTTCAGCCAGGAGCATGCTTTTGCTGCTGAGTCACAAACCCTGAAAGGCACTATTATATAGGAGCCCTCACCTACAGCTGAGCTAGGTGGTGCCTATAGCAAAATCAAAGGCCTTGTTCATCACAACATGAAATGACTGCAGTTTTCTGTGATTTGTCATGAAGCTGTTGCTACAGTTTTATTTTTAGGAGAAACTGTTTACTCTTTTATGTTTCAATTTGTAGTTGAAACATTTATGATGTGACCCGGTATCCATCTCCAAAAATATTTCAAGGCTTTGGTCAGTATGCTGAAGTATACACAACTTGTGCTGATCAGAAAGGGCTTCCCACTAGAGAAGACATGAAATGGGATAGATTACAAAGGAACTCCAGAAACACAATCTGGCATTCCATTCCCTCAGTGTTCCTTCTTTGTCAGACCCAGGCATTAAGAACACAAGATGGATCATAGAATCATAGAATGGCCTGGGTTGAAAAGGCCCACCATGATCACCTAATTTCAACCCCCCTGCTATGTGCAAGGGTAAGATGAGTAAGGGAAAACTTTATTAATGAGATAAATCTACTGATAAAATTTAATATATGATTGGGCTGCTCTTTCAATTACAGAACCGAATAGTCTTTAATTTTTAAAGTAGCTTACAGGCAAAGGCAATAATCTGCTAGGTCCAAATTCAATGATAAATCCCACAGTGTTGATCCCTTCTTGTAAAAATCCAGGAACTGGAGTGACATGAGTCTATGAACCAACACTGAGAGATGCTACAGTAGTGAAATGAGAGCTGCTGGAAACACGAGCTACAGTGTAACTGATGTGGTTCAATCTCCTTTCTTCTCCAAAGACTCTTTTCAAAATATATCTATGGCCTCCTAGTTTTTAAACTAAAAAAAAAAAAAAAAAAAAAGAGTTGTTAACCTGGAAATTTTAATTTGGGGTGAAAGTGACATTAATAATAAAAGAGTTCTTCTAAGTAGTACTTAAAAATAGCACATTTAACTCAACATTTAATTGAGTAAACCAGTTATGAATTAGAGAACGATGAATTCTGTTGCAGTGGAAAACCATGTATTAAGCACCTTCAGTAGCCACTGTATATTAAAAGGCCATATATGAAATGCCAAGTAAACACTGAAATGCTTAGTGACTAAAATAGTATATATGCAAATTTTAGCTATGGGCCAACTGCTGACAGGGAAGCTTTAAAGGTGGCATTAGTAGCAGCATAATGAGATATTTGGAAAAACAGAGTTGTATCTGATTTCAAAGCTGAAAGAAAGTTTAGAGCATTCTTGAACAGAACTACAGATGCCATGAAAGGACCCAAAGCAATGGCGGCTCATAATTTGTAGACAGCTGCAAGCAGTTGATCAGTCTTCAAAAGAATCTGTACAGAACCTATAGTGTATCTCGATGGACACGCAGTCATCTCAGTTTCGGATGATGAAAAATGATTGTAGGTAAGACCAGCAACCAGTAGAAGACAGAGAACTTAGCTGTCAAAGAGACAATGTGCTACCCAGCCTGGAACCAAACTTGACATACAGTTCAAGCTCAGCTGCTTATACGAGCAGGTGAAGGCATGATGAGAACTAGAGGGAGCAGGAAATAAAGACCCAACAGAAGAGACTTTTTCATTGTTTGTACAGATGCTGCTGAGGAGGCTATGGAAAACTGCAGTATAGTAATACTGCTTGGATGTAGACTCACAGTTTGAAACAAACAACGGCAGCTGAGCTGACAGCCAACATAAAGGCGAATCTGCATATCAAAGGACCTAAAGGACACGTAGGTGCTGCAGATGACTGTCTTGAGAGCAGCTTGTTGCTTTGTAGCCATGAGATATGCCATATTTATGGGACATGAGCATATACAGCATATTAGATAATGATGTTTGCTAGTGCCTTCTCGTTACGTGACCCAACTACAGCCAAATCTCATGCCCTACCCTTGTTCCATCCAGATCTCAGAGCACGGGCTCACACACACAGCAGCTGTCACGGCACAAGCCCTAAACAACAGCCGTATTCCCGCTCCCTTGCAGGCATCATCATTTGTGCATCTGGAGAAAATCTCTGCAAAGCATTCAACTTCTCCAGCTCCCGCACTCGTACGGGCGGTGCCGCAGGGGAGCACCGCTGTGGCCGCCGTCAGGAGAGAGGACGTAAGACTAGATCGCCTCTCCAAGAGACTCCAGGTAGCCGCAATCGCCCTACGAGCAGTCACACGCCGCCGGGAAGGCGGGACGCACCGAGCGGCTCCGCGATCCAACGGGAGCCGGCGCCGGCCGGCGGACCTATGGCGAGCGGCGGCGACACCGCGCCCGACTCGGCGGGGCCGGGCCGCCCCGGAAGGCGTTGCCGCCGCGCTCCGGAAGTTGTGCGGCGGAGTCCGGCCCAGAGCGAGGCCCTGTCGCCGCCGCAGTCGGGAGGCGCCGCCGTTCCCCGCCGCGGACGCGGGGCCGCCTCTCGCCCCCGTGGTGGTGGGCGGCCCGGCCCTGGCTCGGCGGCCGGCGCGGGCTCATGGCGGAGGTGGGTGCGGGCGCTGCCCCCGTCCCTGTCCGGGCCGCGCCTCGCGGGGTGCCCGGCCGGCTCCCCTCGCCCCTGCCCCGCGGCCGGGGCCGCGCTCCTTCCCCGCCGGAGTGCGGAGCCGGCGGTGCGGTGCGGCGCGGGCGGGCGGGGCTGCGGCCGGAGAGCGGCGGGCGGGAGAGCGAGCGAGCGGGCAGGGAGGGAGCGAGCGCGGTCGGGAGAGCGCGGAGCGGGTTCGGAACAAAAGCGGAGGGCCGGCCGGGCCGGCCTGGCGGCGGGGGCTGCCGGGGGCAGGAGCGGGATGCGGGAGCGGCTGTGCCCGCACGGCTGCGCGCTGCCATGGGTCGTGCCCTGCCAGCTGTCAAGCGCTGGGCCGCCGCTCCCGGCGCTCCTCTGCCGCTGCTCCCGGCACACAGCCGCTCCCCGCAGCGCGTTGGGGCCCTTCCTCTCGCTGCGAGCGCGGGAGGGATGGATGTGGAGGATCACAGAGGTTGAAAGGGCTTTCGGTACCACTCTTCCTTAGTTCTCTGTCCGAGCCGTGGCTCTCTGGGATGCTCTCTTGGCTTCCCGGTCTCCGTGTCCCGCACAGCATCAAAGCACAAGGGGTGGTGATTGTGAGGAGTGGTTAGGAATGCTGTTGGGCAGTTGGTCAGAGATGACACCGTGCTGTCTCTTAGCTTTTTCTTTTTTTCACTTACAATGTTAGTGACAAAGTGACATTTAGCGTAACGAGCAAGAAGCACAGACATGTATTGTGTCTTGCTTTAATGGCATTAGCTATACAGGTCATTCTGTGTGATGACTCTCATTCAGTCCACGCTGCTGGCTCTGCAGTACATTTGTATTTAGAGGAACATGGCTGCTTTAATAGTGGGTTGGTACGAAGAAACATTCAGATCCACTGAATCCAGATTCAGATCTGCTTGCTTGTCTGGATCAGCAGAAATGCCAGTGAGGTTCCCTGTCTGTTTCCCTCAGTTTGCAAGTGCATCTGAGCAGCACAGCCGTCCTGCGGGCGGTGTTGGAGCCTGCTTCAAGACAAATGTGCATTGGTACCAGTGTGAGTCACCAGTTCAGGTCCAAAAATATTCCCTGCATCACAAATGGAAAGTGATTAAGAACATTATTTCTTGACTGAGAAGTCCTGGGTTTATTTGCCTATGTATCAAGAATGTTTTGAAAATGCTTGTTGAAACAACGTTCCAGCAGTTGTATTTATATTTGGTTAAACAGCTTTTTGCTCACTTTCCAGTTTGGTGTCCTGTCTTCAAAGCTGGTGGTTAGCTGTAGTCAAAATAAATTGTTCTCATTTCAGTACAGTTTCTACAGAGAGACTTAGAGCACTTTTTAATCTTATAAGAAACTTTGGTTAAAGAGGAGTTGTGCGGCCTTTAATAGGCAGTCTGTGGAAGAATGCAGCTCTATAAGAAGAGGAGAATTTCATAAACTGTAGGAAAATAGATGGCACTGGCAAAGGCAGGTTCAATATATGTCAGTATGAACTTCATTTGCCCCTTTCTTGATCTGCAGGGTTGATACTTCTTGTCTGCTACGTTGATGTGATTGCATTTCTTTCTTCTGTTAGCCGGATGGGTATAAACAAGTATACTGACTTGCTGTGGGAATGATTCCCTTTTAAATCTACCAATGCAGTAAGAAATGTAATTGCTTAGTAAAGTTAGCAAGGTTATTTCTAGCAGTCAGTGTGTACTACTACTTATAGTAATTTACTTCTCAAGGATCAGCTTGAAAATAGTGATATCCATGCTTAGTAAAGTTCTGATCCTGCAGTCAGCATTATTCACTTCTGTGACCCCCAAGTCTTACAGTTTCAGCAATACAGCTCTTTGAGTGGTGTCTGAAATTCACTCTTCAGCAGAGAGGTTTACGAGATCGCTTTAATTGCCTGAACTATTGTTTAAATTCCTTGTGTTAAATAAACTACAATTGAAATAATATTCAACATGGCTGTATTAGTTCTATTGCATTTATGTTTTTACAGTGATGCAAAATAGAATGTCTGGTGAAAGTATTGATACTATGTTAGTGTAAGACTTCATTTTGCAGCACACAGGGAGTGAAGCTGGCTGCTGCAGTTACCTGCTTCCACCTCCTGCTGCTTGTGCCCAAGCAGGCCGTGGCTGCTTAGCTTTCCAAAAAATGCTGATGCTTAAACTCAAAAAGAAATGTATTAGAATCATCATGCTGAGCTGCTGTGGCAAACTTAAATGTAAAATGGGGTGGTACACAGGTGCACTTTGCAGCATCTGCTGTGGGTCATGACTGGACGTTCTGCCTTTCAGCCTGCCCCCTGCTCACTCCTTGTGCTGGGAGTGCTGCCTATGGAGCTGAGCTGATGACAGCAAGTAGTTTTTTCTGTGCGGTGCCCGGAGGAGTTGTGGATGCTCCATCTTTGAGGTGTTTGAAGTCAGGTTGGATGGGGCCCTGGGAAGATGGATCTAGTGGATGGCAACCCTGCCCGTGGCAGGAGGTTGGAACTGGGTTGGTCCCTCCCAACCCAAACCATTCTATGGTTCGTTCCATGATGATGCCCTGGACTGGCACCTTGTGAGGTTGGGACTGGGTGTTTTGTGAAAGCTGTGGTGGGACCCATGTGCTTGAGGGGAAGAGCAGGGCTGCTTGGGCCTTGACCTGTGGCCAGCACTATGGGACTTCAGCTGGAACCGAACCATTTTGTGTGAACGTGTTGCTGTCATGGACCATCTCCACTGCAGGAGATTACAGTCAGTCCTGTTTGCTCCCTAGCCCTTGCTGCTCCGTTCTCCTGGGCACAGGCAGGTGCCCGTGCAGCACTGGGCTGAGGTGCTCCCAATGGGGTGTGCAGGGTGAGGATGAGGCTGGTGCAGTGCTGCACAAATGGAGGTGAGGGGAGCAGGTTGCTTCTGGTAACAGGGACACATTGTGCTGGCCTGGAGTGTGCTTGATCCTGGCTGACTTTGGTGAGGTTGGGCTTGGGCTGAGCACGGAGGGTTTGGATGCATTGTTTGGTTGTGGTTTGTCGGCATACTTAAAACCTGAGATCCCTTAATCCTTGGCAGTGTGACTGTGGTTTCAGTATGCACTTTGAAGGCATCTTAAGGGAAGAATCTTGCTCTTTTGTATCCTGATGCCCTTTTTCTTTTTATCTATTTTTACTTGGTACCTATTGTTTAATTTAGTGATAGTTAATGGAAAAAATATGCTCCTGCTTATAACTCCTGTTCATCCATTGGATTCTTGAGACAATGAATTTGTTGTGTATATATTGAGCTTTGAAACATAAAAAAGACTGAGAAAATAAGATAGTTATCAGTGTGTGCTAAGAAACCTGCAGGAAATTTTGCAGTAATAACTAAATTGAACAACAATAACAACAAACGATGAAAATGCTGAGGCTGACCTGAGACTTAATGCTGTTAGCTTCAGACAGTTTCCCAGGAGACAGCATGTGACTCTTCTGTTAAAGTGATGAGGCAATGCTTAGTGGTTTTCCAAATCTGTCTTAGGACTTCAAGGCTGTAACAGAAGTTTCGCTTGATGTTTCAGGAGAGTTTTAGAGACTGTGTACCCCAGCCGTTTGTCCCTGCTGCTCTGCCGTAGCTTGCCGTGCCTATCGATCCTTTGCAGCACAGAAGCTGTTAGCAGCGCTGCCTGCCTGAGGCACACTGAGCGGCGCAGGGCAGCGATAGCTCTGCTTGCTTTCACTGGGCTGTCAGCTCAGTGAACTCTCCCTGAAGTGGATGCGTGTGTCCTTCTGTGATTCCAGCTCTTGCAGATCTCTACAAATGATCACCCCTGTTGACTGAATGGCATAACTGGGCAGCAGTGCCTGCTGGGAACGGTTATCTACCTGTAGCTTCTCAGTCGCATTTTCTGAAACAGATTTAATGGGTGTTGGTTTTGTCAGCTACTAAGTAACATTGTTCTTCATCTAAGCCATTTGAGGAGCAATTGGCTGAAAACTGGAGTCCAGAGGTGTAATTCCATGCAGCATAGCAGGTGTTTTTTTTAGCTGAGCAGAAGTGATACAGGAGCAGGCACAACGTAGCAGGCTTTGCATTGTCCACTCTTACGCATCACTTTCTTTTTTTCTTTTCTTTTTTTTTTTTGTTGTTGCCCCTTCTGTGTAATCAGTGCTATATGTAAACTTTCATAACCTAAACAGGTTATAATCTGGTGTGTAGTTGCTCCTCATGTAAGTATGTAAGCATCTGTGTGTGTGTGTGTGTGTGTGTGTGTGTGTGTGTGTGTGTGTGTGT